GACAACGGATATTACTCACCTTTCCAGGAGACCAAAATATTGCCTCTTGATGTTGTTAATCTGGTCACCATGGCGCTGCGACATTTCCGGAAAGGTTCGTATCTTCCGGATATAAGCTCTGCTCCTCCTCCTCTACACCCACCGGTCCCCCCGACCCACCCGCACACCCAGCAGACCTCTGGCCCACCCCCCCCCCGACCCACCCACACACCCAGCAGACCTCTGGCCCACCCCCCCCCCCACACACCAGCAGACCCTGGCCCACCCCCCGACCCACCCCCACACACCCAGCAGACCTCTGGAACCCACACACCCAGCAGACCTCTGGCCTGGCCCACCCGCCCACCCAGCAGACCCGGGACCTCTGGACCCGCCCACCCAGCCGACCCGGGACCTGCGGGGTGAGAGTTACAAGGGCCCTCATACCCTAGAGAGACATATTGTGTGGGGCCACCGTCCCTCACACTCAGAAGGACACGCCTCCACACCGACCATTGAAAACTTTGCTGACGAGGAAAAAGATAATATGAGAGAGACAGAGAGAGAGAGAAAGAGATAGACAAAGGAGAGTCCAAGATAAGATAGAGAAAAGAGATACAGAGAGACAGAGAGACGATACACACAAGGAAAATTGACAGATAAAGACAGAAGAATTCACACACACAACAAAGATATCGCCAAACGTGTAACGTCCTCCCCCCCCCCCGTCCCCCAGAACCCCAAATATAACATGATATCATACCGCTAATGGCTGCCAATGATGGAAATAACATAATTTAACTGATAACAAGCTTATATGAACACACATCTGATCTCGTAGTGGATAGTTAACTTGTTCACGTTAGGTGTTCAACTGTGACTCCTGATGGGTCTCTCCTGATGGGTCTCTCCTGATGGTCTCTCCTGATGGTCTCTCCTGGTGGTCTCTCCTGATGGTCTCTCCTGGTGGTCTCTCCTGGTGGTCTCTCCTGGTGGTCTCTCCTGATGGGTCTCTCCTGATGGTCTCTCCTGATGGTCTCTCCTGGTGGTCTCTCCTGATGGTCTCTCCTGATGGTCTCTCCTGATGGTCTCTCCTGATGGTCTCTCCTGATGGTCTCTCCTGGTGGTCTCTCTGATGGTCTCTCCTGATGGTCTCTCCTGATGGTCTCTCCTGATGGTCTCTCCTGATGGTCTCTCCTGATGGTCTCTCCTGATGGTCTCTCCTGATGGTCTCTCCTGATGGTCTCTCCTGATGGTCTCTCCTGATGGTCTCTCCTGATGGTCTCTCCTGATGGTCTCTCCTGATGGTCTCTCTCTGATGGTCTCTCCTGATGGTCTCTCCTGTTGGTCTCTCCTGATGGTCTCTCCTGATGGTCTCTCCTGATGGTCTCTCCTGATGGTCTCTCCTGATGGTCTCTCCTGATGGGTCTCTCCTGATGGTCTCTCCTGATGGGTCTCTCCTGATGGTCTCTCCTGATGGTCTCTCCTGATGGTCTCTCCTGATGGTCTCTCCTGATGGTCTCTCCTGATGGTCTCTCCTGATGGTCTCTCCTGATGGTCTCTCCTGATGGTCTCTCCTGATGGTCTCTCCTGATGGTCTGATGGTCTCTCCTGATCTCTCCTGATGGTCTCTCCTGATGGTCTCTCCTGATGGGTCTCTCCTGATGGTCTCTCCTGATGGTCTCTCCTGATGGGTTTCTCCTGATGGGTCTCTCCTGATGGTCTCTCCTGATGGTCTCTCCTGATGGTCTCTCCTGATGGTCTCTCCTGATGGTTTCTTCTGATGGTCTCTCCTGATGGTCTCTCCTGATGGTCTCTCCTGATGGTCTCTCCTGATGGTCTCTCCTGAGGGGTCTCTCCTGATGCTCTCTCCTGATGGTCTCTCCTGATGGTCTCTCCTGGTGCTCCAGAAGGGACCCCTCAGAAGGGACTACTCAGGAGGAAGGATTTACCGACGCTCTTCTTAAAGAGCGATTTAATAATCTGTTGGGAAAGAAGAGAAATTTAGTGCTGATCTTGTTCTGAGTGGCTCCAATAGTGCTGGTCTTGTTCTGAGTGGCTCCAATAGTGCTGGTCTTGTTCTGAGTGGCTCCAATAGTGCTGGTCTTGTTCTGAGTGGCTCCAATAGTGCTGGTCTTGTTCTGAGTGGCTCCAATAGTGCTGGTCTTGTTCTGAGTGGCTCCAATAGTGCTGGTCTTGTTCTGAGTGGCTCCAATAGTGCTGGTCTTGTTCTGAGTGGCTCCAATAGTGCTGGTCTTGTTCTGAGTGGCTCCAATAGTGCTGGTCTTGTTCTGAGTGGCTCCAATAGTGCTGATCTTGCTCTGAGTGGCTCCAATAGTGCTGATCTTGTTCTGAGTGGCTCCAATAGTGCTGGTCTTGTTCTGAGTGGCTCCAATAGTGCTGGTCTTGTTCTGAGTGGCTCCAATAGTGCTGGTCTTGTTCTGAGTGGCTCCAATAGTGCTGGTCTTGTTCTGAGTGGCTCCAATAGTGCTGGTCTTGTTCTGAGTGGCTCCAATAGTGCTGGTCTTGTTCTGAGTGGCTCCAATAGTGCTGGTCTTGTTCTGAGTGGCTCCAATAGTGCTGGTCTTGTTCTGAGTGGCTCCAATAGTGCTGGTCTTGTTCTGAGTGGCTCCAATAGTGCTGGTCTTGTTCTGAGTGGCTCCAAGTAGTGGCTGTGCTGGTCTTGTTCTGAGTGGCTCCAATAGTGCTGGTCTTGTTCTGAGTGGCTCCAATAGTGCTGGTCTTGCTCTGAGTGGCTCCAATAGTGCTGGTCTTGTTCTGAGTGGCTCCAATAGTGCTGGTCTTGTTCTGAGTGGCTCCAATAGTGCTGGTCTTGCTCTGAGTGGCTCCAATAGTGCTGGTCTTGTTCTGAGTGGCTCCAATAGTGCTGGTCTTGTTCTGAGTGGCTCCAATAGTGCTGGTCTTGCTCTGAGTGGCTCCACTAGTGCTGGTCTTGTTCTGAGTGGCTCCAATAGTGCTGGTCTTGCTCTGAGTGGCTCCAATAGTGCTGGTCTTGTTCTGAGTGGCTCCAATAGTGCTGGTCTTGTTCTGAGTGGCTCCAATAGTGCTGGTCTTGCTCTGAGTGGCTCCAATAGTGCTGGTCTTGTTCTGAGTGGCTCCAATAGTGCTGGTCTTGTTCTGAGTGGCTCCAATAGTGCTGGTCTTGTTCTGAGTGGCTCCAATAGTGCTGGTCTTGTTCTGAGTGGCTCCAATAGTGCTGGTCTTGCTCTGAGTGGCTCCACTAGTGCTGATCTTGTTCTGAGTGGCTCCAGTAGTGCTGGTCTTGCTCTGAGTGGCTCCAATAGTGCTGGACTTGTTCTGTGTGGCTCCAATAGTGCTGGTCTTGTTCTGAGTGGCTCCAATAGTGCTGGTCGTGCTCTGAGTGGCTCCAATAGTGCTGGCTCTGAGTGGCTCCAATAGTGCTGGTCTTGCTCTGAGTGGCTCCAATAGTGCTGGTCTTGCTCTGAGTGGCTCCAATAGTGCTGGTCTTGCTCTGAGTGGCTCCAATAGTGCTGGTCTTGCTCTGAGTGGCTCCAGTAGTGCTGGTCTTGCTCTGAGTGGCTCCAATAGTGCTGGTCTTGCTCTGAGTGGCTCCAATAGTGCTGGTCTTGCTCTGAGTGGCTCCAATAGTGCTGGTCTTGCTCTGAGTGGCTCCAATAGTGCTGGTCTTGCTCTGAGTGGCTCCAATAGTGCTGGTCTTGCTCTGAGTGGCTCCAGTAGTGCTGGTCTTGTTCTGAGTGGCTCCAGTAGTGCTGGTCTTGTTCTGAGTGGTTCCAATAGTGCTGGTCTTGTTCTGAGTGGTTCCAATAGTGCTGGTCTTGTTCTGAGTGGCTCCAATAGTGCTGGTCGTGCTCTGAGTGGCTCCAATAGTGCTGGCTCTGAGTGCTGTGCTGGTCTTGCTCTGAGTGGCTCCAATAGTGCTGGTCTTGCTCTGAGTGGCTCCAATAGTGCTGGTCTTGCTCTGAGTGGCTCCAATAGTGCCAGTGGCTCCATAGTGCTGGTCTTGCTCTGAGTGGTTCCAATAGTGCTGGTCTTGTTCTGAGTGGTTCCAATAGTGCTGGTCTTGTTCTGAGTGGTTCCAATAGTGCTGGTCTTGCTCTGAGTGGCTCCAATAGTGCTGGTCTTGTTCTGAGTGGTTCCAATAATGCTGGCTCTGAGTGGCTCCAATAGTGCTTGCTCTGAGTGGCTCCAATAGTGTTTGCTCTGAGTGGCTCCAATAGTGCTGGTCTTGTTCTGAGTGGTTCCAATAGTGCTGGTCTTGCTCTGAGTGGCTCCAATAGTGCTGGTCTTGCTCTGAGTGGCTCCAATAGTGCTGGCTCTGAGTGGCTCCAATAGTGCTTGCTCTGAGTGGTTCCAATAGTGCTGGCTCTGAGTGGCTCCAATAGTGCTTGCTCTGAGTGGCTCCAATAGTGCTTGCTCTGAGTGGCTCCAATAGTGCTGGCTCTGAGTGGCTCCAATAGTGCTGGCTCTGAGTGGCTCCAATAGTGCTTGCTCTGAGTGGCTCCAATAGTGCTGGCTCTGAGTGGCTCCAATAGTGTTTGCTCTGAGTGGCTCCAATAGTGCTTGCTCTGAGTGGCTCCAATAGTGTTTGCTCTGAGTGGCTCCAATAGTGCTGGCTCTGAGTGGCTCCAATAGTGCTTGCTCTGAGTGGCTCCAATAGTGCTTGCTCTGAGTGGCTCCAATAGTGTTTGCTCTGAGTGGCTCCAATAGTGCTGGCTCTGAGTGGCTCCAATAGTGCTTGCTCTGAGTGGCTCCAATAGTGCTGGCTCTGAGTGGCTCCAATAGTGCTGGCTCTGAGTGGCTCCAATAATCCTCTTGTTACAGGACAATTCCTGCAGGTTTTTAATGAATGAGTCTCGATTATAATGTACTTGAGATAAGGCCATTCAAATGGCCTCTGTATATTGGCCATTGAATTCAACACCATACGCGAGGGAGATTTAATTGTATACCTGCGACAGGTGGGAATTAATTATAGTTTAGTGCACCGGGGATTTATTGGATTATTAGAGAGAGAGAGAGAGAGGGATTTATATTTGCTCTTTGGCAAGGGATTACTTATTGGATGGAGGATGTATATATTGCTGTCTGTCACTGTCTGTATGGAGAGAGATGAGCCACTGTCGGTTCTGTCGGCACTGTCGGCAATTGGGAGCCGAGGCTATATCCCCAACGACCCAATGACTTTTGTACAGTCATGGTTGGTCGGGTGGTTAAGAAACCGGGTACGCCATGTGAATAGTGATCTTGGCTGTCTGGGGTTCGAATCCTTCTGGGGGTGTGGAGTTTTCAGTTGCATTTTGGCTTGGGGACCATTCAAGCTTGTTCGCATTTGTGTTGCTCACGTGGCCCCACAAAGTGAGGTGATTCGATGAAATATCTCTGCCCAACCTTACCACCAAGTGCTGTCGGGTCGTTGGGGATATAGCCTCGGCTCCCAATGACTTTTGTACAGTCACGAATGGTCGAGTGGTTAAGGAACCAGGGAGGCCCTGTTCTCCAAAGTTTATTTTTACTTATTATTTGGGTCTGACGCCTAGTGAGGCGTTTCGTAAGGTCTCTCCTCACATTCTCAAAGACAAATTGTTTTGTATAGCACCTGATTAAATCCTCTAATGGTGAAGTGGTTGGTGACATGGATGAACGACATACATGGGGTATTAAATGAATGGGGTATTAATAGGGTAGTAAATTAAGGGGACATCAGTTCCAAATATACCAAAAATATACAATAAATGAAAACTAATTCGATTTCAATCAAACTTTTTTTGACGAGTTGTATATGATAAGGGTTTTATCTGGTCCAAGTCTCAGCATCGTAGCGTAAATTGGAAGGGAGAAAAAAATATTGAATTATGTGTGAAAATTTTTCGAAAATGGTCAAAAATTAACATCAAACACAAGTGTCAACTGAAATCATGTCTACGACTCTCAGCTCCTACAATAGCATATAATACAAATATTTAATCATTATTTTTATAACAAAAATTTTTAATTTTTTTTTTATTTGTTTATCGGACGATTTGCATGAACCTTATACACGTGACTGCACGTAAGCCTGTCTGTAGGGGTGTCAGTTTTGGAGGAAATTGGTTAATGTCAACCTCAGCCACAGATGGCAGCACCTTAGACTTTATTTTTTTACTTATTTATTTTCAAATAACATAAATTTTCCTATAACTCTTTCATTTTTTTATTAAATTAACATGAAAATTACACCTTATATGTAGAGTTTAGGTTTCTACAATATGATTACGGGATTTTTTTTTCCTAACTTCATTTATTGATTTTATAATAATAATAAACATTATATTTTTGCATAATTTTTGAGGAGGGGAACTTTGACTATTTGTATTACTAAAACTAAACATATTTTGGAAAATCTGCTGAAATCATATCCTTTATTATATGTTAATGTGATAGAAGACTGTCATAGACATGATTTCACTTGAAACTTATGGAGTTTCAAAGTAGAGTTTTATTGAAAATGTGTAAACAAAGTAGAGTTTTATTGAAAATGTGTAAAAATCGTTGCCAAAAATATTTCCCTTTCTATTTAGGTTTCAATACTGAAACTTGGAACAACTGCAGCCACTTTACATATACAACTAGTCAACAAATATTTGTTGACATTGAACCATGTTTAAAAAAAAACTAACTCAAGGCTCCTGAAAAGTGTTTTTTTTTTAACGTTTTCATTCATGAACGAATGAATGAATGATAAAAGTTTATCATTCATAAACTGTTGGCAGTTTATGTCCTCCTGGTTGCTTCCGTTCCTGTTGCTGGGTCATTTGCCCCAGTAACAGGAACGTTGCTGGGTTAAATGAACGTTGCTGGGTTAAATGAACGTTGCTGGGTTAAATGAACGTTGCTGGGCCAAATGAACGTTGCTGGACCAAATGAACGTTGTTGGACCAAATGAACGTTGCTGGGCCAAATGAACGTTGCTGGGTTTAAATGAACGTTGCTGGGCCAAATGAACGTTGCTGGACCAAATGAACGTTGCTGGGCCAAATGAACGTTGCTGGACCAAATGAACGTTGTTGGGCCAAATGAACGTGTTGGGTTAACGTTGCTGGGCCAAATGAACGTTGTTGGACCAAATGAACATTGCTGGGTCAAATGAACGTTGCTGGGTTAAATGAACGTTGCTGGGCCAAATGAACGTTGCTGGGTTAAATGAACGTTGCTAGGCCAAATGAACGTTGCTGGGCCAAATGAACGTTGCTGGGCCAAATGAACGTTGCTGGTTAAATGAACGTTACTGGGCCAAATGAACGTTGCTGGGCCAAATGAACGTTGCTGGGTTAAATGAACGTTGCTGGGCCAAATGAACGTTGCTGGACCAAATGAACGTTGCTGGGCCAAATGAACGTTGCTGGGCCATATGAACGTTGCTGGGCCAAATGAACGTTGCTGGCCAAATGAACGTTGCTGGGCCATATGAACGTTGCTGGGCCATATGAACGTTGCTGGGCCATATGAACGTTGCTGGGCCAAATGAACGTTGCTGGACCAAATGAACGTTGCTGGGCCAAATGAACGTTGCTGGGCCATATGAACGTTGCTGGGCCAAATGAACGTTGCTGGGCCAAATGAACGTTGCTGGGCCAAATGAACGTTGCTGGGCCAAATGAACGTTGCTGGGTTAAATGAACGTTGTTGGACCAAATGAACGTTGCTGGGCCAAATGAACGTTGCTGGGTTAAATGAACGTTGTTGGACCAAATGAACGTTGCTGGGCCAAATGAACGTTGCTGGGTTAAATGAACGTTGCTGGACCAAATGAACGTTGCTGGGCCAAATGAACGTTGCTGGGCCAAATGAACGTTGCGGGGTTAAATGAACGTTGTTGGACCAAATGAACGTTGCTGGGCCAAATGAACGTTGCTGGACCAAATGAACGTTGCTGGGCCAAATGAACGTTGCTGGGCCAAATGAACGTTGCTGGACCAAATGAACGTTGCTGGACCAAATGAACGTTGCTGGGCCAAATGAACGTTGCTGGGTTAAATGAACGTTGTTGGACCAAATGAACGTTGCTGGACCAAATGAACGTTGCTGGACCAAATGAACGTTGCTGGACCAAATGAACGTTGCTGGACCAAATGAACGTTGCTGGACCAAATGAACGTTGCTGGACCAAATGAACGTTGCTGGACCAAATGAACGTTGCTGGACCAAATGAACGTTGCTGGACCAAATGAACGTTGCTGGGCTTGAACCACCTCAAGACCCCAGGCCTTAAGATCATGGGTAGTTTTAATCAAATCAATTCACTATTGAGGAGTCCTCCTCCCTTCTCTGGTTAACTTGTCTTATCTTGAAGTTCTCCTTTGCTCATTTGCTAGGTAGTGGAGTTTAACAAGTCACAAGGTAATACCGCGATCTTTAACACGTTTGGACGAGTAATTGAGGGGTTTAATTGGCCATTAAGGACTTGGAGGAGCAGGGGGAGGGATCGGGAGGGTTGGCCGCCCTGCGTCTCTCTCTCTCTCTTCGTTTATTGTGTATTTATTTGGTCAGTAATGGGAAGCTTTGCGTGTGTGTGCGTGCACGCACGCACACACACATACGCACGCACACACAGTTGCTTGGTTGATTGATTGATTGATGGAACAAGTTGATTGAGAGTTGAGAGGCGGGACCAAAGAGCCAGAGCTCAACCCCCGCAAGCACAAATAGGTGAGTAGTACACACACTCTCTCTCTCTCTCTCTCTCTCTCTCTCTCTCTCTCTCTCTCTCTCTCTCTCTCTCTCTCTCTCTCTCTCTCCCTCATCCATCCATTCATTTAAACTTGGTCATTTAGCTTGTGAAATAGTGTGTGTGAAACCGTGACATATACACCCTGACAGCCCACAAATATGCAGTCTACCTGCCCAGCCATCACCGCCTTGTACGATATTCGTCACTGCCGTAGCCTTCCCGCCAGTCTTACGAGAGTCATAGCCAGGTCCAGGGTTTACCAAGCATTTACTCAGTCACTGACGAAGCCTCTACATCTTTCCTCATTCATCACGGGTTTTGTTTACATCTTTTAAGCACGTGGTGAGCTCGGTGTGACGTCATATAAACGTCACATCTGGTTGTGTGACGTCACACCTGGTTGTGTGACGTCATATAAACGTCACATCTGGCTGTGTGACGTCATATAAACGTCACACCTGGCTGTGTGACGTCATATAAACGTCACACCTGGCTGTGTGACGTCATGTAAACGTCACACATCTTGACTCGGTGAATGTATATTCTTGTGTATATTACATACTGTGTACGTAATAAGTCGTCTGGGGAAGGTGGTCGTAATTAACGATATCGTGCGATGGGTTTAGAAAGATT